CCTTTTTTCTTTCTTTTTGTTTGTATATATCGAGACTGCGATAGTCTTTTTTTCTTTACTTTTTTCATCTGTTTCTGTTACTTTTTCTTTTTTTTTTCATATAGATTTTTAGTTATTCTCATCTTTTTTGTTCTCTCCTCTTTTTCTTTGTCCTCTATATTGCCTCTTCATAGAACTATATTTTTTTTTTATTCTGCCAGAATATAAGTAGGAAAAGTTTTTAAGAAAAGACTAGGCAGTTTTGATATGAGCTGGTAGTAGCCTCCCTGAGATTAGGAAGCAAATAGACTATCAGATAGTCTAACGTTTTTTATGAAGGAAATTGTTACTGCAGCAGATCGCACTTGAGCACCTTAAAGGCAGCTGAGTGAGTTCGGATCAGTACTTAGAAGGGTAACTTAGTATAGTTTTTATAGTATGTTATCATTCAGCTTTTTGTTAAGCTTTCCTTAATAAAGTGATGGACAAGATCGCCTAAGTTTAAAAAAAAAAAAAAATAATAATAAAGAAAATATTATTACAATACTAATATAATATATTTTTATATATAAAACAAAGTTAGTTATAATAAAAATAGAATTAATTAGTAAAGTTTTAAAAACTATACACAATAATTTTTAAAATAATATTTCTAAATTTAGTTTAGTTTAATTCAGATTCATAAACTAATTTTTTTTTTTTTTTTTTTAATAGTTATATTATAAACTTCATTAAATTGTTAACTATAACTATAACTAAATTATATATAATTATATAACCTACTTAATTTTTTAAGTTTGATATTATCTAGCTACTACTAAAATACTTAGATATAACCTATCATATTCATGAACTAAGTTTATTAAACCTAAACTAAACTTTAAATTTTATAAATTATTGAATCTGAACCTGAACTAAACTTAAAATTTATGAATCTGAACTAAATCTAAAAGTTTAATATTAAATTTTTTTTAAAAAAAATTTTAGTTTAATATTGAACTGAACCCGAATCTAATCTCAACTAAGATTCAGTTCAGTTCAGATTCATAAGAATACTATAGAGAAGTATTAATAAAAACCAAACAAATAATTTTATAGTAAAATTTTTTAAAACTTTAAACTCAAATAACTTAATAATATTATTCAAATTTAATAATTTGTTTTTTTTTTAAAATTTATAAAATTGTAAAACTAAAAAAACTTAAATCATTAAATTTGAATAAGTTGTTAAGTTATTTGAGTTTAAAGTTTTAAAAAAATTTTACTATAAAACCTATTTATTTGGTTTCTATTAATATCACTTCATATTACTAACTTAAATATAATCTTTTTATTATATAATATTAGTTCTCAACTTACTATACTATCTAACTAACTTTTGTAACACTACACTATATATAACACCAATACTATAAAATAAATAATTTTTTTAATATTATATACTTAATTACATAGTTTTTATAAATATTTTTTTACTTCTAACCAATCTTAAACTACTAATCTTATCTATAAAAGTCTGACAAAACCAGTAAACTATAAGCACCAGACCTCTGAATTTTAAATCTTAAAAAAATTTTTTTTTCGCTACACGACGTTCTACGTATAGGTTACGCTAATCCTGAAATCTAATTAAAAGTGTTAATAATTACCACTATGAAGTAAATGTAATCGATCAAATATTTCTACGTAGTGATTTAAATTGAATAATTTATACTATTTGATTCTATCAAAAGAATTGAATAGTATAAAATAGTTTTATGGATCACGAAATATTTGATCCACCGTATTACCTTCGTCTTTGCTATAATAACTCTCTTTACCTTATTTTATTAACTTTGTTTAATATTAACTAACATTTAATATGTTAGAATTAATAATATTACCAATAACTTCTACAATCCATGATAATTACTTTTTCCACACCTAATGCAAAATATAGTATAACTGTACACGCTTTAATTTTTTTTTTTTTTTTTTTTACAATCACAAATTCAAATATTCAGATATTGTGAATAGTGCCCCCATACATAACAACAATTATTATACAATAAATAATATGTTTACATAAATAACATATTATAAATTTGTTTTCGTTCACCAACAATTTTAACACCCATGATCTAATGAAAATGAATAAGCAAAAAGAAATCCAAAACAGGTTTCATTGCCAAAATAATAATAATAATAATACCGCTGAATGAATGCATAATGAAGTTTTTTTTTTTAAAAAAAAAAAAGGAAATGATTTTTATTAGTTTTTTTTTCTTATTATTATTTTTTTTTTCTTTTTTTTTTTTTTTTTTTTTTTGCGCTCATATACCAGGTAATAAGGGGAACGATAAAGAAAAGTTGAAAAAACGTAAATCTATACAATGCTACAATGCTTATTCCTTGCACTATAGATCCTTTTGCCAAGCATAATGTGAGATTCCAATAACCAAACTGCCCGGAAGTTATCCGAAGGGATATAAGGAAACTAGAAGCAAACCGGAAACCGACAATTTCTTTATGTGATTTTGAATTTGATATTTCCGTTAACGTTCAGAGTTCCTCATTTTTCCATAACGCTATGTCGACAAATTGGACACTTGTCTGAATTTTTGAGCCAACTATCGATACACTCCTGGTGAAAATCGTGCGCGCAGGGTAAATCCCGGAGCCGTTGATTAAGTTCATACTCTGATAAACATATTGTGCACCTGTTTTTAGAGAAAAGACATAATCAATATGGAATGAACAAATATATGTATACTGTCTAATCCGACCGACCGACCGCACCTCTCATCCGGACTTCTAGCTCTACTCATTAAATATAGTTTTGTTGGTAAAGTATTGATAATATGTTCTGGAACACCCTTAGGTTTTGCATCGCCGATACGTTCACTTAGTCTAAGCAATCCTTCGTAACTAGAGTCAAATTCATCCTCATCCTAAAATAAAAAAATAATACAATTACTACAAACATTGCAATTATATCTTATTCTATACATGTTATGTGATGTACAAAAAGTAAAAACACGCTCGTGACCAAAAATTTTAATCGCAACCTACCAGGTAATTATCCGGATTAGCAGCAATACCATTGCTAACAAAAAAAAAAAAAAAAAAAAAGGATATTAATGTGGATAATAATATTGTTAAAGAATGATAGCATTTAAAAAATGTAAATACCCCCAAAATTCTGGTAACATATCCAAAAAATCTTCCAGTTCCATGTCATTATCAATGAGATTCCCTAATAACGGATAATGTGGTATAAAATGATGATGTATATA